ACAGGATTCTGAATGAGGGAACTAAGGGACGGTTGCCGCCTTGCCATGCTTTATGGAGCGCTCAGATTGGAGCGCGAGGAAGTGCATGGTGCGTGCATGGCCCTGACGGACACGGCTGCTCAAGTCCCATCTCCTGCACACCTACACTCGAACCCACATTGACAACCGCCTCTCAAAGAGCCGCAGTTACGGTAAGGTGAGGAATGGTCCTTTGCGTGGAGGGGGCCATTAGTGCCACGATTTGAGAATTCTTTTTTTAAAAGCCTTCAAATGAAGAGGCAGAGAGTAGGACCCCCGACAGCTGCTCCCCAGGCCCCTTCCTAGTGTTAAGTTGCTTTCTGTCTTTGTACTATCCCCTCCCTGGACACTCTTCCATCCAAGGAAGGATTGAGAGCGTCACCGCTTCGGTTTAAACTCTTATGATTAGTGATTTATTGGTTACCAACCTTTCCCAAATGTGTCTGTCTCCAAAGCCCAGGGAATGACTTGTGTCTGGATTCTGTTTCTCTTGCAGATGAGAATGGGATGGGAGCTGACAATGAGGAGGCCGGGCTAGCTCAGAACGCTCCTAAGACGGTGGAATCTCTCATGGCATTAACAGGCAGGTTCAGAGAGCGTGATTCCCAGGGTCCTGGCAAAGAGGATTCCTCTGGGAGTCCGAGCAGGACACAGTGGCAGCAGGGAGACACTGTAGGGAAGAGACAGAGTAAATCTGACTGGGGCCAGCCAAAGAGCCAACCAAGAGAGAAGCCCCATCAGTGTCCTCAATGTGGGAAAAGTTTTGGGCACAGCTCACACCTTATTACGCACTGGAGAGTCCATACAGGAGAGACGCCCCATCAATGCGCCGAATGTGGGAAGAGGTTCAAGCACAGGTCCTCCCTCAATACGCACCAGAGAGTGCACACGGGAGAGAGGCCCCACCAGTGCCTCGAGTGCGGGAAGAGCTTCCGGCACAGCTCCCACCTGATCACGCACCGGAGAGTCCACACAGGCGAGAAGCCCCATCAATGCGCTGAGTGCGGGAGGAGATTTCGGCACAGCTCTTCCCTTAACACACACCGGAGAGTGCACATGGGAGAGAAACCCCATCAGTGCGCTGAGTGTGGGAGGAGATTCCGGCAGAGCTCGCACCTGATCACCCACCAACGGGTTCACACTGGAGAGAGACCCTACCAGTGCGCCGAATGCGGGAAAACCTTTGCTGGCCACTCCGCGTTCGCCACCCACCAGTGGATCCACACCGGAGAGAAGTCCCACGCGTGCGCCGAGTGTGGGAAGCGGTTCCGGCACAGCTCCTCCCTCCATGCCCATCGCAGAGTGCACACTGGAGAGAAACCCCATCAATGCGCTGAGTGCGGGAGGCGCTTCCGGCAGAACTCGCACCTGATCGCGCACCGGAGGGTCCACATGGGGGAGAGCTCCTTCCGCTGCCCGGGGTGTGGGAAAGGATTCAGCCACGGCACAGACCTCATTCGACACTGCAGGAAGGTGAGTCCCCCGGCTGCCGGGGCAGGGGCGGGAGACAGGGACACTCTGTGACATTACCCAGGGTACAGTCTGGACTGATGAACAGCTGTGTCACTTCAGTTCTCCCACCTGGGGTGCCTTTTACACTGTTTGAGAGCTAGCACTCCTGGTCTGCTCACACACAGCCTGCAGCATGTACGTTCCTCCCAGTTGTAGTGTCTGAGTGCTACAGCTAGCCACTTTTGATCTACACTGCTGAACAACACCAGCAAACTCCCAGTCCTGGACTGTCCCCAGAAATGTCTGTCTTGGACTGCCCAGCCCTCTCCTGGACAATACAAGCTCATACAAAGCCCGTCATTTTATTAATAGAAAATGATATGCACAAATCCTGTTATCCCACATGGAGTTTCCCAAACACCTCAGTTTGAACACACTGTTTTAGATAAAACAAGAAACAAGTTTGTTAACTGCAAAAAGGTTTTCCGTGAATATAAGTAATGAGGCATAAAAGTCAGAATTGGTTACAAGAAAAGAAAAGCACAACTACACCTCTACCCCGATATAATACGACCCGATATAACGCGGGTTCGCATATAACACGGTAAAGCTGTGACACGCTGCTCTGAGCAGCGTGTTAAGGGTGCCGGACCAGGCCGGGGCCGAGGGGTTTCATAAGGGGCAAAGGGTCTTGGGGGCGGTCAGGGGCTTTCCTCCCCCCCCCCAGGGTCTGGGGAGCAGGAGCTGTGGGAGGGCACTTTTGGGGACCCCGCAGTCCCAGAGTGGCCCAGGGGATTAGTGGGGGGCCGGGAGCAGCCCGCTCTGCTTCCCTCTCCCCGACCCCAGCCATGTCGCTCGGGGAAGAGAGCTTGGGGGAAGGGATCCCTCCTGCACTCGCCAGCAGTGGCGGAAGCGGAGCGAGGCGGCCCCAGCCCGCTCCAATCCGCCAGCTCCCAGCCGCAGCGCTCTGCTTCCCGCCGCCGGTGAGTGCAGGGGGCATCCTTTCCCCAACCTCCCCGCACTCACCGGC